CCTAGTTATTCAAGAAGTTAAAATATGCAAAGTGAAACACAAGAATAATACTAATCCTATATTACCCCAAACCTTTTGAGCCATATTGATTAGTTATTAGTCATTATTTAATGTTTCAAATAAGCAACTTAATATTTGAATTGAAATAATAGTCATGCCAAGCTCCAAGCATGCACACTATGTTTGTCCAAACAATAGTTATGCCATACTCCAAGTGTGCACACTATGTTTGTCTATGATCCTTATTTTGTGAAATAGAGCAACTGAACATGATTCCAATGATGCTCATTTCACAATCCCAAATCCTTACCGTAAATGTAACAATATCAAATTCTTGTCATTTACGGTAGTATGTTGGATTTTAAATTCATATGCATTGATCCTCTTGTAATGACTATGCACAAAAGTCACAAAGACTTGACAACAGATATTACAAGGTTTTCCAATGGAGTTCAATTCCATGGAAATGAAGTCTCACATTCAAAGTATATTCCTTTGAACATCCTTCTTGCATAAAAGTTTCTAACTTTCTCATCTATTCTTCAACTCCAAATATGGAAATATTCCATCGTTGCCATACGAAAATTCATTATTAATAGATTATTGTCTATAGTCTATTCATAATAATGTCAATATGGTCCATCCATTACTATACTTCCAGCTGTTCTTAAGCGACCAATCCTTGGCGAAGCTTAGATTGTCCTTAACAGTTGCTCAACCACTTTAGCCATAGTCGATTCTAGTCCTTCTTCCCTCTTAATGCCCTAGGCATTTGGAAAAATTTAGAACATGAGAATATTATAGCATATGCAATCGATCCTATACCCGAAGAATATGGGACATGATTCATAATGTCCAACATAAAGACATGATACTTAATCAGTCTTTTGCTATAATGTTTCTATTTGCCATGTTCTCATAAATTTGATTATGAAAATGGATGCCATAATCATAATCGAATTTTAGAATGCAAATCATGTAATCATGACTAAATTTGATTAAAATCTCACAATCTAAACTTTTAGATTTGAAATGAAGTATGAATTCCTTTCCCTTATTTATAGCAAAAACAACTTTTTCAACCCTGCAACTTCACGAATTGAAACCTTTGTTTTCTATAATTAACATTGCTAACTTGCAGCATTTACCATAATTGATTATGCTCCAGCTAGCATAATAATTATTATCTTACTAGCATAACACTTATGCTCCCGCTAGCTCTGACACGTACTCAGAAATCAGCTGGACTTCTAAAAATTAATACTTATTGAATTTCATTACCAAAGTTCAAATCTCTGATACAAGATGCTTCAATAAAACTTTATCTAAGCTTCTCAAAATCATAGAATTTCCCTTAGATAGCTCACATGTGTGTCTAAACAATTTAATAACTTGTAGCCATCAGTCTCTAATGTTTAGACCTTTTTTCCATTTCTCACAATTCGAATTATGAAAAGGGATACCGTAATCATAATTGAATTTGAGAATGAAAATATCACAACTGCTATCTCCTTAAAATCTACATAGTGAAAGCGTTTTCTTACCATCATTTTCATGAATCAGAGAGAAACCTTATGACACTTAGATTTTATCATGTATGTGTTCCTATCCATGTGACTTGGTCACAACCACAATCACAAGACAAGGTTAGTGGCAAATCCAAACTCATATGGACTGAACTTGTTCAATATTAATTTCTTGCCACCTGGCAGCACAAGGGCCTACCATTGCTTCCTAGGTTGTTATTCAAACAACTGAGAACTCATAGAACTCACATGCATAGTTAACTTTAACTGGAAAGGGAATAGAAACAAGAATATGTCAACACGATAGGTTACAAACCTCAAGTTGTATGCTAGTGATAAACAATAGGTTTTATTCTTGATTAGTTCTTGAAGCTTGTCAACATCTTTAAGACTCCCACTGGCCTCTTGACATATAAGACTCTCTTGTTAAAAACCATTCCTTAACAAACAAATATTCAAGAGTTAGTGCAGATTCTTATCAAGACAAACACTTCACACAATTGGTCTTAGTTGGTCTTTGTCTTTACCAAGAGTTCACAACTTACCAATTTCAAATGTACAAGAGTAAGGAACATTTTACTCTACATTTGACAAGTGTTATAAACCTTTCTTAAGATTATGTCACTCAAGACTCGATCTTGGAGTGTTACTCCAAGATTCGATTTTGGAACGAAGTATGACTCATATTCTTGATTTAACCATTTCAACAATTCACGATTCATATTCTTAGCTATACAAATGCACTAAGATTTCCTTAGAGGATCAATTGTGATATGGTTTCCCATAATCATTAAGATGATCATAAACATGATACTAAAGTACTCTCCCATCTTTTCAGATTGGAGAAACTTTTATCTTTCTGCCGAATTTGATTCTTCTTATTCTTCATGCCATGCATTGAAAGTTTTCCAATGTTTCAGAATTATACTTAATCTTGTAAGCATAACCATATTTACTAAGCTTTAGTAAATCATGACGAATAGTCTTATCGAACTTTGTGGTGGACCTAACTAGTGCACAACCTAGTGTAGCCGATCCCATAGTCCTTCACTTGACTCACATATACATGTGAACATGGAATTAATCTTAATTTCCCAAAGACAAAAAATTCTCATTCATCATACAAAACAAGTTGCACGATTCCAAGTTTCTATCTAATTTAAACTTGGGTGATAAGAATCTTTCCTTATTTGGTAAATTTTGACACTATCACAAACGAAAAGAATCAAATTTTCCAATATTGCTAGAAACGTACAAACATCAAATTTTCACAAATGCCATTGTAAGGAGATATCAGATAAGATTAAATCAAAAATTTTATTTATTTATAAAATGCGGAAAAAAAAACTTTTCCTTACAATGCAATCACGTATGATAACAATGTTACTACAAATCTCTAAGCATTTTATCATAACTCTTAAGCAGCAGCTCAAAAATCCGATCCGCGACCATATTCAACTTGCTCTTCCTTTAAGCTTCCTTTCAGCTTCCTTTCTTTTCTTCGATTCTACAAAACATCAAGGTACGACCTTTTCACATCATGTTTTAAGAATTTACAAATAGTAACTTAACAAAGTTAGATAGTGGACTCACCTGAAGCAGAGTTATACATTCTGACTTTACCATCCTTGTGGTCCTTCAGGTATATAAGGCAACTTCGCAACCAATGCCCCTTCTCTTGGCAGTAAAAACATACAGCCTATTTGGGAATGGTACACGTGACAATCATAGACTTAGAGTTTCTATTTCCCTTGGAAGTATAAATCTTTTCTAGACTTCCAATGTTTACCATTGTCAATGCCCATGGAAGTTCGAGAAGTAGATCTTCCAATCAAATTTGCTTTTCCAATGAGCCAAATCATTGTTGATTCAACATCAACAAGAAAATAAGTAAGATTAATGAGGGTCATGTTGGGATCTCCCATATAGTATTCCTTAAAGAACCCGCTATAGGACTTAGTAAGAGACTGAAGAACCCAATTAACAACCAACTTTTTAAAGACTTTGACACCCAACTCTCCCAGCCTGTCAATATGTAACTTCATCTCCAAGATGTTGGTACATACAGATTGCCATCTTGCAAATAAGGCTCTGAGTAACCTTAAAATTTTCAAGTCTTTGAACTTGTGCGTTAGGGAGAATTATTGGAGGAGGTGGAGGAAGTGAAGTATGACTTCCATGATCCAACCCGGGACATCATCTTCTAGAGGAAATCTATCCACTTTCTGACTAAACAAGTTTTGGATCTAGGATTAGTGTTTGTGATGTTATAGGGTTACATGTGGATACAATTGGAAAATTTATCCATTAAGAACCCCACTTTATGGATTATTGAAAGTGAGGGCTTCTATCTTAAAGGATTAAGCACTTAATGGAAGAAGTGCATTTGCCCAGAACACACTTCATGTCCATCCTTGGACGCGACACATCCAGTAAGGTTTTATTGTGACTATTTTTCCAGTAGTGAACAAGGAATGTCGTCACCACACATCTGGTTATTAATCGTTGACCATTGACTTTTTAGCCAGTTTGACTTTTTGTCAAACTTTTATGGATATGAGTATTTGACTGAGGTTTGATCTCGAATTGGTATTAGGTGGTTCATGCTAGCTTTCTTCGGTAGACACTTAAGACTTGGGTTGCTAGCTTCGAATTCAGGTGAGTTTCTCACTGTACTATGTGTGACACTATATGCCATTTATGTGGTACGATGTGGGAGTACTATTACAATATAGATGTATGATTCGACTAGAATAGTCTTTTGTATGTTGATTGATAGGTTGTACGATATCTTCTTATGATTGGTATGACAGACGGTGGATCGGCGACATGTCACGAATCTACAAGTCATGATGGATTGACGATAGCCCGTGAGTCTACAAACAATGATGGAAAGACGATAGACCATGAACGACAAAAGGCGGTGCTCCATTAGGTGGCATGCATTGTAGTGTTGAAATATGTAATATCTCGGAGAACTCAATAAGTTTCATGTTTATGTTTTAAATGTAAACGTATTTCAAGCTCTTCTGGATAGAAAACTGTACTCGCATCTGTTTTACGATATGACTCTAGTATGATATTATCTTTTAAAATATTTGATCAAACGAAATTCTTAGTACTTTTGGAACGATGGTTTTAAGGTCACTCAATTATATTTTAAAATGAAATTTTGGCCGAAGTAACAAAGCAAAAGCAGAAAAAAGAACTTGTAAATTTTACAAATTCTAGTTTGAATGCACAAAAAAGTAATGTCAAATTTAAACCATATTTTAAAAAAAAAAAAATTAAAGGTTTTTATTTCCCATGATGTTAAAACCATCTTCACAAAAGGTTTATACAAAATAGCAGCCGTGTAGCAACGGTCACGATCTACTACGCGCCACGCCCATTGCCTTATAAAATCTTCCAAATCCCTTTCGCTTCTTTCATACAATCGGTCGTGGATTCTTTTCAGGTTTTACGGTTTGGAAGATGCTACTCCGTAGCTCCTCGAATCCCGCTCTTAATTCATGGTTTCGACATGAAAACCCAAAAGAATCGTCATCGTTGGAGCACCTGTTCATTCGCCGTAACCCCAGATCACCAACAATTTCACTATACTCGTTAAATCCCAAGAATGATTCTCCCAAGAAGATTGCTAGAGCTTCATCGGAGGCAGATTTGAATGGTAGTCTTGTCACCAAAGGTATGAGTCCACTCTGTAAGCTTTCTTCCATAGCTGTTGCAGAAGAGTCGGAAGGAGAGGAAAGCGATGATGGTGTTCTTCTGTTTTCAACTTCTGGATTGTATGACAACGGACATGGATTTGCTGTAATGGTCGATGGTATAGGTGGCGGCGGTGGTGAAGGGAAGATCTCCAGCCGTGGTGGTCACGGGAATCATCATGAGAATGATAGTACGGATTTATATTATCAAAACATGATCGAAGCAAACCCTGGGAACGCAATGCTTCTTAGTAATTACGCTAAATACTTGAAAGAGGTACTCATGATTAACCTTACTTATGAATCTTTAAAATCAATCTTTGTTTCTGTGCATACACGTAGCATTGATAAGTTTCATCTTTTCTTTCAAATAGGCTAGATGTGATTATCCAAAGGCAGAAGAGTACTGCAGCAGAGCAATACTAGCAAACCCTAACGATGGAAATGTTTTATCTATGTATGCTGATTTGATCTGGGAGACACATAAGGATGCCACTCGTGCACAAAGTTATTTTGATCAAGCTGTTCAAGCTTCCCCTGATGACTGGTATGAATAATAGACTATACCATTACATTTTAAAGAACTTTGTTTACATTTGGATGTTTTTTACTCATTTTGATATGTTTTTTAAATGATGATGATGATGCAGTTATGTTATGGCTTCTTATGCTCGGTTTCTTTGGGATGCTGATGATGATGATGAAGAAGAGGAAGAGTGTGAGGTTGATATGAACATTTTGACACCAATTGCTGCAGCATGTTAGAGTTGAACACTCTTTTGTATATCGGCAGAGATATTATAATTGTATATAGCAACTTTCTGACCTTTTTTTTTTGTGAGTTGTTTATTGTTGTATCATCAATGGTCAATGCTAATATGTTTCTATTGCAGTGATTTTTGTAAATATCATGTCACAAAGATGATAAAATGATGACATAAGTTTTATTATGGTGTGTATTTTTTTTCAAGATTAAGAGAGAAGTCATTATGCTTACATAGTCAATAGGGCCATTATCTGTTGTAGTGAAGTGTAGCTGCTCAAATGACTTGATTGGTTGAATTGATGATAAGATATGGAAGGAGGACCACTTTTTGTTCTTGGACAAAAAATATCTTGTTAGTGATTTGAGTTGAATAAGACATTGCAGATATTACTATGAGCTATGATCGTGTAGTAATTGAGAGTTCTCTCCCACAAATAGTCTAAAATCCATTAGAATTACATGCCTAATGGGTTGTCAATATGACATTAATGACAAATTTATGTTAGGAAAAATATAACCATAGGATCTGTACAAAAGAACTAATAGTAAATTGTTACTAAAACCTGTGTTTGACACAGTTTCTTTAAAACAAATTCGCCCTATATGGGTGTTTGTTTCTTACGATACAACAGTTTAAAACAATTCAAACAATTCTTACAAAATGTCCGAACCCTCACTTGACCCAAACTATGAAAGACAACATGGCAAAAGTGGTAAAACATAAAGTTTGACTTGTAGCAAAAGGATTTGTACAAAAGAAAGGGGTCGACTTTGATGAAGTTTTTTCACCGGTAACACAACTTGACACCGTAAGGATCATCCTTGTCTTAACAGCTGAACATGGGTTGGTTGTCCACCAACTTGATGTCAAGTCCGATTTTCTCAATGGAGATCTCAAGGAGGAGGTCTATATCACCCAATCGGAAGGATAGGGATGTCAAAAAGTCTCGTGGGACCCCGAACCCGTGGGACCCCGATCCAGAATGGGGAATATTTGTTTAAAAAATCAGGGATAGGGGCGGGGGCGGGAGCAATGTTAACCCCCGTTTTAGTTTCGGGGGCGGGGGCGGGGGTGGGTAGTCCCGTACCGAACCCCCAGTGGGGACCCCGTTAATATATTATTTATATTAATATATATATTAATTATAAAAATATAATAAATAATAACAATGATATTGAACTTCCAAAATTCAATTAAATATCATGTTTTTAAGTTTATAGTATAACGTTTTTAAGATGTTATAATATTTTTATTTTAAATATATAAACTTATGCTATAATAACTATTTTTATCCAAAATAGTTTCTTTTAGCTCAAAAAATAACTTCTTTTAGCCTAAACAACACATTCATTTGCCAAAAAAAAGTCAACCCAAACGGGGGCGGGGAAACGGGGGCGGGGGCGGGGGTAATCCTGGGATTCGGGGGCGGGGGCGGGGATGGGGATGCTAGAGATTTCGGGGGCGGGGGCGGGGGCGGGGAATCCAATCCCCACCCCATTTGCCCCCGTTGACATCCCTACGGAAAGATATGTTGGTAAAGCTCACTGAAGAAAAGTGTTCAAGCTTTACAAAGCTCTTTATGTTCTACGACAAGCTCCTCAAGCTTGGAACATTCGTTTGGATATAAGTGTAAAAGGATTGGTTTTATAGAAAGTTCACAAGATCCAGTTGTTTACAAAAAGAATTCAAAAGAAAAAATTCTTCTTGTTAGTGTCTTTGTTAATGACTTGATCATTACCGGTTCGAACACCAATGGCATTGTTGAATTCAAGGAACAAATGAAGAAAAACAATTCGAAATGAGTGATTTGGGATTACCTTCTTACTAATTTGGAATCAAAGTTTTTTAAAATAAGTGGGGGATATCTTTACTACTAACGATTTATGCAAAGAAGATTTTAGAGATATTTGGGCTGCTATATTGCAATCTGACAACGTCACCAATTGAACCTAAGTTGAAGGTTAATAAGAGTGAAGATGGTGAAAGAGTTGATCCAACTGAATACAGGCGAGTAGTAGGTTGTTTGGGGTACTTGAATCACACTCGGCCGAACTTATCATTTTCGATTGTAACTGCAAGTTGTTTCATGGAGGAGCCGACCACTTTGCATTTCTAAGTTGTTAAACACATATTACGATACATGAAAGGAACTGTTGATTATGGACTGGACTATGGAAGAGGTCGTGAAATTGAAGATTTGGTTGGTTTTACCGATAGTCATGTTGGAGTGACCATGTTGATAACAAGAGCATAAGTGTGATGATTTTCTATCAAGGAAGGAGTCAGATAACTTGGTAATCCCAAAAGCAAAAGTTTGTTGCTTTGTAAACATGTGAATCCAAGTTCATGGAAGCTAGACATGTCAAGCTATTTAGCTTGCTAATCTCGTTAAGGAGCTCACGGGACATCATATCATTCATATCACCTTATATGTCGATAACAAGTCAGCTATTGTATTGATGAAAAATAATGTGTTTATGGTTGAAGCAAACACATTGACATTTTTTATCACTTCATTTGTGAATGTGTTAAACATGGGCAAATTATAGTGGAATATGCCGATTCAAAGGATCAATGGGTGGACATATTTACAAAGGCTTTAGCATACGTGAAACATGGTGAAATGTGAAACTTGATCGGCGTGACGAATCTCGAGCCAAGTTTGGTTTAAGAGGAAGAATGTGAGTATAAACCCAACGTGGTAGATGAGCCTCTTTTGTTGACAAGTAAATCCCTCATTTGTTGACAATAAAAACTAGAAATGGTAGCTTCTTTATTTCATACATTGAACACAATAAAATTGTCATAGACGAGCCTATTTTCTTTAAAAGTAAATGCCTCAGTTGTAATGTACCAACACCCTCTTCATTCAAGTCTTTCAATTAGTCCTTCAAGAAATATGTCATTTATTGACTTCACACCAGCTGGTGACTTAAGTGCAGTCAAGAAAGGCATTCATGTAAGCATGAAACTAGTAAAAATTATTGAAATTGATCCATGGTTAGAGTACATTCACTCCCGAATGCACAGTAAAATTATTGAACTAGGGTCGAATCTATCGGACCAACTTGAGGGATCTTCTCTTAGAGTGTCGTTTGGTGGATAGGTTACTATAGGGTCGTTGAGTAAAATGAGATTTTTGAATTGGCTTTGTAGGTAGTCTCTAAAAAGTCCATCATGTTCTCTAGATCCATTGTAGGCTAAAACATCATCTTGACTCAATCGATATACATATATACGTTCCAAAAGACTCATTTTGCCACCAAATGTCATGTTGGATCTTGCTATGAAGTTGCGTGCTTCGTGGGCGTGGAACTTGATTGAGGATAACAAAAAACTAGTCGGAGGATGGATGAAGTCGGACTCTCTTATGCCCTACACAAATGATATGTACAAAATTAAGCACTAAAAATGTTAGTAAATTTTTAGTAATTCCTTGATCATGTTTGACTGACAATTTTCAATGGTTAGGAGAATGTCCATGACGACTACTGGCATTTTAGAAACTCAAATTTAACAACAGCGACATCTTGAATTGCGCAAAGGAATCAAACGTGATTGAAATAGGTTCCAAGAAAAATATGAGAAAACAAATCCTTAACAAAATTAGTTCAATCTGAATGTAGGAAACTATAAACCCTAAAGGCCTATTAGTGTTTCTTCTTACGTTGAATTGCTAGAAATGAGTGTTTTTAAGTTTTGGTTTAAATGATCCCCAAACATATTTTTTTGGCTTTACAGGGGCATAAGGTGAGTTTAGTCGAGTCTAAATGGTTACTGTCACATGGTCTACCGAGTATCAAAGATTGAAAGGGACTAAAAGAGCATGTCGTAACCTACCTTATACCTTTATAAAACCATGAAATAACCTTAGGCTCTTAATCGACTAAATTTGGAAACATTGTAGGGCTATTGTGTTATTTCCCCTTTGCAGAATGAATGAATCATTATCCATATATCAATATATAATGAATCAATCATCAACTCATGGAAAGGTAAATGTAATGATATGGCGGGTCATCAACTGGTAGAAGGAAAAAATGTAAAGTGGTCATCAAGGATATAAAAGTAGCTCAAAACTTTGGTTTCAAAATGGCCCAAGTAAATACATACCAAGTATTTGTTTATTTCTTTTCGTCTCTTGCTTTAAAATGTAGACAAGAGCTATATCTTTAGATATAACTTAGGGGAGACTAATTAGTCTATGTGATTAAACAATTTATTATATAATGGATTTTTTTTTCTCTAGAGACATGTGGTGTTTTTATGGTTTTGGAGTTTTTCATGTATATCCTTGTGTCTCATTTCTATTTTATTTGCCTTAAAAAGGGTTATTTGGAATGATTAAGGCCATTTTCCCAACCAATTGTGTCAGGGTTTTGTAGGGGTCTTGGTTTTAGAGGTGCGTAGTATGCTAATGTGAAATTCTTAAAATGATTTATTCCAAGTAGTGACACTTTATTTTATAGTGGAGTGTGAGAATTATGATTGTCAATTGAAAACAATGTTCCTTCTCGATGTGCTTGTGATTTTGTTTCATTTACCTAAGGTAGAGATTATTAATATATTTGTTAACATGAATTATTACTTTTATCCCACATTGATACAAAGTAAAAAGATAGAGTGGTCTTAAGCCTATAAATAAGTCCAAACTTTCCTTTGAAAGTGCCATAACCAAATATGTTTTAAGTATTTGATTCTTTATTTTCTTCTTTTGCTTTATATTTTTGAAAATTTTTAGTAAAAATATTATAGAATGTGAGTGTAGTTTTGAGGAGGCTTGAGATAATAGTGTATGTGATGATACCAATTTACAATATAGTGGAGTTTTCTCCATGGAGACCCATGGTGTTTCCCTTATTTTGGAGTTTTCCACATATATCTGTTTGTTCTTATTTCTATATTATTTTGCGTTATAAAGGTAGTTGGGATCTTTAAGACCATTTTCCCAGCAAAACCGTCCAAGAGTAATAACAAAATCCAAAAATTAACTTAAGTTTCTAGTATAAATCCATCACCATAGCTGCTATTTATGATTCCGAAGTTGGCACTCTTTAAGCACCATAATCATAATGACGCTTACCAAATACCTATCGGTGAACCAAAAACAACAATCTTAAAAATCACCACAAACACTTCATTTTTAATCCATTTAGATCCATCTAAAGAAGTTGTAAAAGGTGGATATAGCACCAACCTAGCTATAAATGCTATGTAGATTTACCGATACTTATTAAAAAATGGTTGTGATGCTTAAAAAAAACATAAACAGGTTCTAGCAATAATTTTAATAATAAAAATTATAGAAAATCACATGTTTCTTTTCTGTAATTGTTTTTAGGTTACAAAAACATTTATTGGTGATATTTAAACGAT